ATGGAATGCATGAATTGGTTCCTACACTCAGAGGTCATTTCGGGGGGAATCGCGGGGGATCGCAGTTCCCCCGGGTGAGGTACGGGGGGCAGGGCACATGACGAAGCCCCACCCCCTGCTTCCGGCCGCCCCGCTTCCGGCCCTCATTCAGCCAGGAGGAGGCAGGAGAAGAGGGAGGGAAGTTGCTTCCTCCCTGCCTCTCCCCACCCCTGCCTGGGGCCAGGGAGGGCCTTCGCGGGGCTTCCTTGCACTCCCGCCGGTCTTGCACTTCTCTGTCACGTCTAAAGCTTCTTTGGAGAACTTTAGAAATCACCTTCCATGCCTTGGTTGGAGGCCTTTTAGACTCTTATTTAAAAATATGCAATCACACCTTTTTCTTATTCTTAGTCAAAAATATTTTTAACAAAACCAGTTTTGTTCAGTGCAAATTATTAATTTGCTCTTAACTCATTCAAAACTGTTCCTTTAACCAGTGGTAATAAAATAGTACATAGTAATAAAAAGAAAATCTATATGAAAAAAATTTGGGGAAAGTAAAGCATCTTTAAAAAATCTGATCTCACCATTATTGTTCACAAAATGAATTATTTCAAGAGTAACTAAACTTTTCTGAAATTGAAAATGGCTATTTTTATCTATTGAAGTGTTTCATTCATTCTCCTAAATATCTTATACATTCTCTATTCTCATCCTTTTGATGGGATTCTAGTAGACGCAGCTCATGTTAGGATCAGGAAAGTTATCAATTGAAGTTCATCATTGCACTGAGGTTTTATAGGGATAGATACTGTACCTATAAGACTTCTGCCATCCACCTTCTGGTGCAGTGGGTCTCTTTTCCTTAGTCACAATCCACCCAAAGTCTATCCAGCCTGTCAGTGCTCTTCCAATTGGAGCAGTCATCTGTGACAGAGAGCTACATGATTATTATTTTCATGGCTTGCTGAATACCCTGAAGAACAAGGTATAATTAAAATTTTATCAAACTCATTAGTAATTACATGTATGTCATGGTTAATCAGTTGCATAATTTTGTAATCATTGTTCATACAGTAGAGCATAATTATTCTTCAGGCTTTGCTTGCTTCGTGCTTCCATCTCCTTTTCACACAAACACCCCATAAAATTATCCTGTAAAATAGCAATGTGTTGTTTTTTCCTTATCTTTATCTCCACAAATAGCATGTTCACATTGAAAGCCCCCCCTTTTTGAATACTAGAGCAGTCTCAGTTGGCTCCAGTACCAAAATGGTGATGAGTAATCACACTAATTTCACACCATCAGTTTCGTCTTATCTTTTGCCTGCTTTCACTTTACCATTTTTAATGGGCAGAGCCACGTTTCCATCTGGAATGCAGAGCTCTTGGCAATAACAGGTTTGGCCTGCAGCTACATTAATATATCCCCTCCATCAAGAAAACTTGACATCATGGCACCTTGCTTAACGTAGCTATGTCTTGGTCCCTCTGTGAGCACTCTGGAAACAAATTGCTTACAGCCATTACTGGAACCAAAAGAATGTCACCTAGCTTGTGCTGGATGGGTAAACTTAGGGCAGTACATTGACTTTATGAAAAGATGGGAAAGTTCTTGTGCTCAGTAGACAGGAGCAAGGGACTCCTTGTTTATTCTGTAGAGACTATTCTGTAGAGATTATTCTGTAGATTATTCTGTAGAGACGAAAGGAAAAGTGCAACAATAAACAAAGTGAAGAGATGGGCAAGGTATCCACCTAGGCTAGGATGTGAACTTCAGTAACAAGAGGGAAAAATCGGCCATCACCACAGGACTCCGTCTGTTCAGTTTGTTCTGCTGACCTGAAGTGAACTTTCAGTGGTGCGCTGAGAAGTGCATCCCATGTTAACTTTTTGAAGATGTTCTTTTGACTTAAAAAGCACATCGAGACAAAGCGAAAAGTGTAATGAATGTTTCTGCTTCCCAGAGAACATGTGCATTCAGCTGCCATAGGACATAGTCTTTCTTTCTCTGGAAAATAAGGATGCAGGCCTGACCTTTCCCTATCACTGCATAGTTCCAAAAAACATGACTTTTGTGAGCTGTGTTCCCCCAAGCTGGCCATGTCAGTCTCTGCATTAAAGCAGTTCACTTTGGTTTATTCTGTCCTCTTTGAAGCCTGAGATATAGCAGCTACCACATTACTAGCTGGGCAGTTGAATAATGAGCATATCTCCTCTTCTTAGCTGTGAGTCTCTCTGCTGTGTACAAATTGGACTTTTTTTACGGTCTCA